TCTCTGATGTACTTTTTTATTTTGATTTTTTGTAAATGCTGCGGGACAGGCTGCACCCAGGGGGTTCCTTCCAGTAACTTTATGAACTATCTGCTGCCTGAAGACTGAATGAGATACACATTTTCCATTACACCACTATCCATCTCATCTCACCCTGAAACTTCAGTATTTTCAGTGGCTGACGATTAGGTGTGCTATGGAGAGGCACGGCATTTAAAATCTCTTACTTCCTTGCCTGACTACACACACTAAGTTACATTTGGGGGATTACTGTTTGCTTTCTTCTCTCCTCAAACAGGTCATGTTAGAACTAAAAGAGGGCGGGGCTTGCCTGCCCTTCTCTTAGTTAACAATATCTTGTAACTTGTCACTAGTAATGAAAGCACTTAATGTCTCTACCATTTGGATACCATTGCATGGAATTGGTTATGCCTCATTGGATTTTGGCATTTAGGGTAGATGGTTAATGAAGTCACACTTCATAGAATCACTTATAACTCAAGGTGGTTGAGCAATGTAAGTTAGGGTTCATATACATTCTGTTTCTCTAAGCCCATATGATGACCAAGAGGTTGAAAATGCAACCCTGCCATAACTATGTGGGGCTAATAAGAATGCCCTCTAGGCATGAATTCACACATTCTTGGTCATGGATGTTGGAGAGCCAATGAGCAAAGGGACAGTTCTGTTGGCACTTGATGGTTGGAGCAGACACATCCAGTTCATTCATCATCTTGTTTCCAAGGGGTCCTGACCCTCCATCAGCCTGGGGCTTGCCTCACAGTTGGAAACAATGAATAAATTGTTTTAAATATTCATAAAATTAAGCTCAGGCTCCTTTTTAAAAACCCAGTGCTTTTAAAACACAGGGGGAAAATGTAATGGTCCTTCTGGAAAGGATTTTATAAGAAAATAATTTGGATTTTTAAATGACATTTTAAAAACTATTTTGATTTCCAACCAGATTGCTACTAGGTTTATTTTGCAGTCATAGTGGTTTATGGTATATTCATTCATTCTTAGTTAGGGCATCCTATTTTCCTCTTGTTTGTTATATAATCCCTTTGCTTGTATAGACCTACTAGCATTGGCCTTTCTGATTAACTGTCATTTTATGGCAAACTTGATTAAGGAAGATCTGGGTTTCATTTACCAATTTCAAAAATGGCTAGTGCTGTTCCACTGATCCCCAAAATCTTTCTTATACTTCATCAGCCTGCTTAAGAATCAATGTAATTGGTAGTATAGAAATACCAAATGATTTGGAATATATATACGTAAAAATCAGGTCTCTGCCTGGCCGGGTGTAGCTCAGTGGTTGAGCGTCGACCTGGGATCCAGGCAATCGGGGTTCGATTCCTGCTTGGGGCACATGCCCAGGTTGCAGGCTTGATCCCCAGTAGGGCGCGTGCAGGAAGCGGCCGATCAATGACTCTCTCATCATTGATGTTTCTCTCTCTCCTTTCCTCTCTCTGAAATCAATAAAGATATATTTTTTTTAAAAAATCAGGTCTCTAGGACTTTGCTCTTTGTTAGGGCATTAGCTATTGAAAACTAGTGTCCATATTTGTGTTTTTTTTCTCAGAGCTGAAGTTAGTCTAAGTGTTAGAATACATTTTTTTAAAGGACAGAATAATCTGTTTACTATTCATTCCCCATTATAATTATCCTAGAAATTCATGATAAAAAATATTTGCTCCATCTGGTCATGACACAAGAATATTCTAATGTAAGTTCTAGAGTCCTTGGTCTTATATCAAGTTACCCTCTTATCAAGGATCCTAGAAATGCATCAGTTTTATTTCTATTACCTTGAGACACTATTCTACAAACACATACATCTTACTACCAAAGGATATAGTCTGCTAAACCTAACTTTCCCTTTTCTTAACTTTACCCCTTGAAATTTTTCTTATCGCCTGCCAAAATTCCTCTTTCCCCTTGGTGTTAAGACCCCTGAGCTATTTGTAGATTTTTATCATGCCACTTGGGTCTGACTTTGTGGTTTGGCTACACTATAAAGTTCATATTTTGCTTTAAAACCATCATTGTAGATGATCTCCTCTGGATTCCCTCCAGTTGCTTATTTCTTTTCAGTCCTGAGGTCCAATATTTCAGGTTAGGGCATCCTATTTTGCCCTTGTTTGTTACATAATCCCAATGCTCATATAGTTCCAAATCACACTGAACTTCCTGATTGACTGCCATATAATATTTCAGACTTCTATCTGATTGGCTCCCAACTCTTAGTCAGCATCACTGATTTTTGTTTCACCCTGCCTGTGTCTCTCAAACTGATTCTGATCCCTCTGATATAATTTCTACATTCTTAGTGGTATGTGGGGTAAACAGTTCACAGCATCTCATTCTCCCATAGAAGAAATCAAGGGTTCTGCCTCCAAGTTCCTGAAACATGGAAAGAGGAACATGATTTTAATCTGCGTTAGGTGGAATACATGAGAAATGTGTGGAAAAGTTTTACAGGGCTTAAGAATCCTAATTACATTAAATGGCCAGATTTCCCCATGCCTAAACTACTTCCTGATTGTAAACAAGGAATGTTTTGCAGCTGAAGTAAGAATGATTCTTTAGATGCCTATTCTAGGACCTCCCTGAATGAATGTAATCAACAATTGATAGATGTTAGGAAGGTAAATCTACAGTTGCAGGATAATTCCATATGGGTAAGATTAGTAAAACTCACTTTCTTAAACACCAATCCAGCATTTAGGAACAGTGATCATTTTCAAAGGATGGAAGTTTTGTCATAGTGCTTCTCCAGAGGGTGAATATAATGATTTGCAAGGCACAAGGGTATTTCAGAGCTTGAGTCCTAAGTGGTGCTATGATGTGAGAAGATGTAAGTTTTACTTTCCACCTTAGAGAACAATTTAATATTATAATACCAAAAGAGACATACAGGAAAAAAACTTCATGCCAACACTAAAGGGGAAAGGCACTGAACATGTCTATACTGTTTGCTAAA